TGGGTACCAAAAAAAACAATTCCTCCTTGCAACTGGACTCGTTTTTTGAGTTTGTTGCATTTCAGGCATGCTTTGCTTTATTTTTCGGGGCGATCTTACTCTTATGTTTTGAATAACGTTGATACGTTTGTCTTGTTCCACCGGTGTCTGTTTATAGCTTGTATTTTGTCGTAGTTTCTGTAGGCGTAGCTCAAACTCTTTATTTTCATTCAATGCAGCTTTTCTTGGAGTGTCCTGGATCTTTGTGTTGCCTTCAGTGGTACATAGCTTTTCACAGACATGTTTAATTAGGTTGTTAAAGCATTGGTGTTCCCAACAGATAGTTGTAGTTATTGTTTGTGCTTTGACTATTTTTGGTGTTTCTATATAAGTGATGTTAGAATTTTTTGTTGCCTGTTTCAGTTCTAGGTTGTTTTTTTTAATGAATTTATTCAAAATTGGTCTATTTTTTGAAAATGGACATGCAGCAACAAATACATTTGCCAGTTTTACATTTTTCAATAAATTGTGGAGTTCGGTTGACGTAATGCCCTTGTCTTTAATTGCATTTTCTGGTCCCACAAACAGTAGTAGGACATCTTGTGTTTTCATTTTATGTATGTAATTTTGGGAGCGTGCGATCAGGTCATCAAATGTTCCTTTATGGATATATTGTCTATTGATGTCAAAGCCATTGTTTGTATATTCTTTAAATTTTGTGCTTGCCCCTCTCAATTTTGTATTCGTCAGCAGTAGGATTTGGGGCTTTCCTGTATCCACTTTTGGTTCGGATCTCATAGGTGTGTGGTTAACTGATTTTTCTTCTGTACATTGATCAGGCCATATAGGTGTTTGAGTGCTTTTTCCAATATTTATTTTTATGAGGGCGTTTAAAATTCTTGCCTCCTCTATTTGCTCTTCGCTGAGCTCTGTTTGTATAGTTTCACTTTGCATGTGGGAACATTTTTCTGGTTGCTTACTGGAGTTGATGTTTTCAGTTATCTTTTGGCATTCAATGGAATGTGTTTTCGTGTTTGTTTGGGTTAAAAATGTTGTTTGAGTACCTATATCTACAGTAGTTTTTAATATATTTTTGGATATGTTCAGAGATGCTTCCAATGATTGTTGTATTTCGTTTTTAAGTTCGACGATCACCTGACTCTGTTCAAGAATTATTTTTTCGCTTTTGTAATCATATTCCAACATTTCCTGTTCCAAATCCCTATTTAACGTTTTAAGTCTTTGAATATACCTGTCTTTCTCCTGTATTTCCTTTTCTAGCTTTTGAATCGTATCTTCGTATTCTCGCATAGCTTCAGTAGCACTGTCCTCGGATTTAACAGCATCTTCGGCACATTTTTCGGAACACCAAATTAGATTTTTGTTTATCACTGTAATGTTCCGTCTTTCGCTGCAGCTTTTATGCATAAGATTTTTGCAAATCACACATAAATAACTTTTCTGTGGTTTATTTTTACAACATATAAATGTCGATGCCATTTCAAAAAAAATAAGTTATCGAGAGTCAGTATTTAATATTACCATTTATTTATTTATATTATATTGTTTATACGTTCGCTCGCCGATAGCACAGGTCAGAAATAATCCTCACAAAAAAAGGTGTATTTTGCCTTTGTGAAGTGGGACCACTTTTTATGATGGTATTTTATTTCACTTTTTGTTGTTGTTTTAGCTATTGTTTGAATGTATTTCAGTTGTTACAGGTTATGCATTGGGTGCTTTCACTCGATGATCAGCTCACCCGTTAAATCTTAGTTCGCACTATAACTGTGTGAAAGTTCCAAAAAATTTGGTCACTTTTTACTGCTTTAAAACCACTATAAACCGGGAGCGATTAAACACGACATTGCGACTCGACGTTTCATTCGTGAAGGTTATTTCAACAGCTACCCTTGCTGAGCTGGTATAAACATTATAGGAGTCTTGTTCAGCAGTCAAACCACGAGATGAATAAGGTTTCATTAGCCATGGTAACAGAGGGTAAGCAGGATCACCTAGTATGACATATGGAACCAACTTACCTTGTAATTGAATTGCTGCCTAAAAAAAATATTGTAAATAAGAGCTGATAATTTCGAGTACCGACTTCAAGTTCACTGGATCATATCTAGGAAAAAATTGTTGATCCAGTGAACTTTATGTAGGTACCTACATAATTCAAGTATTTTAAAAACCTTTGGCATTATTCTAGTTATATTTTTATATATATCTGAACCTGCTAACACAGCAGCATCATGTGTTGAACCTGGGTTTTTCACACATATATCTATAAATCGGTATCTATGGTCCACAACACCTTGCAAGATTATAGATGCCCATCCTTTTCGATTTATAAAATCTCTATAACCATCTGTAGGAGGCTGTATGGGAATATGATTTCCATCAATGGCTCCTATTACATTGGGCAACTTTGATTTATTTTCAAAATAAGAAGCATTTTCTTTGGCTGTAGCTTCAGTGGGCATTTTAATAAATTGCGGTAACAATATTTTATTCACAGCTTTGACAAATTCATGAACTATATTATGTACTGTTGTTTTATGGATCCCAAATGTGTGTCCAACAACCCTGTACTCACTCGAACTAGCCAGATAGTAAAGAGCTACTGCAACCTTTTTTTCTACATTACTTATAGTTCTGCTTTTATTTAATACATTCTTTTTTGGTGTAAGCTCTTGTTTCAACTCATCCACGATAAAGTTAAAGGTGTTTCGCCCTACTCTAAAGTTTTCAAGCCAATCTTCTTCCCCGAACTCATTTTGGACTATACGTTCCCAAAAATCGTAACTACGAATTTTATTTTTTCTGCGTTTCTTTCGTTGAATACGCATTTCATCAATTTTTAATTTGTTGACAAGAAGTTTTAGGTATAAACTAAAATATAAAAGTAATGTAATTGCCTGGTTAATTACGAAATAGAGAAGTCTTACCACTGGTATTTCCTCTCGTATTTTCTGCGCCTCCATAAAAGTATACTTGAATTAGTATTGAAAATCACTTGAGACACGAAAAAAAAATACATACTACTGAGTAAAATAATTGTTTTCCTGTTTATTTTCATTTTGGAATATGATTCTTTGGAAAAATTCAATACAGGAAATAATAATTGAAAATTTATAAACAAACATACCTAACCTCAAAATAATGTTGACAGTCGAAAATAATGAAGTTGGCAACAAACAACGCTACTAATCCGGATTAAGGCGTTTATATCGGAATAGTGGATTAAAAAACTTAGTCCAATCCTACATCTTTGCAGGATTGACTTAAAATTTCAAGCTGGCTTAACATCGGCTTAGGCGGTGTTTATTTCACAATTTTTAATCCGATATTTAAGTCAATCCACAATTAAGCCGGATTAATCGTGTGAAATAAACGTAGTCTGTATATATTTAAATTTTAGGTATTTCCAATTCTGTTAAATTGTAGGTTTATATGTATGTAGTATTATTAGTTGTATGTATTAGTATTATGTAGATTCCATTTTTTAATTAATCTGTGCCAAGTTTACTTAGTTTTTTATTCATGAGAAAAATTACAAAAATAAACAAGTATCCAAAATGTTTCTTTTCTCTATTTGTCACAAGTAAATTTGAGGTGTTGAGACCATCCACAAAATTCTAAAAACTAGACATCTAGCTGCTCACTTAATTTCTCCAAAAGATGCTCTTTGAAGCCATGGGGGACCAAATGAGCTATGAGCATACTATAGGATGCTCATAGCTCAGTTGCATAGTTTAGTTTTGCAATTTTGTGGGATCGTCTGGTTGTCGACGCCTCATTGGAAAATATTTCTCTTTGCTTTGTCTTGCATAATATGCATTGATATTATAATGTAGCAAGTACTTAAATTTCCTCTTTTAAATTTAAATCAAGTAAACCATAATAATTTTTTAAAATTTAATTTCTCAGAAAGTAAATTAGGGTTAACATACATATTAAATTAGTTCATCAGATCACAGGACCTAAATAATGCAAAATATCTATCTATAAACATGCCTTTATATTAACTATTATAATTAAAAGTAACATCAATATAAATTTAAACGAATGAAACAATAATTACAAATTGAAAATCAAAAATACTTGATAATACACTAACAAAAGAAAAAGTGTATGTTCATTATATTTACAAATTTATCCTATTATTGTATAATAGCAAGTATAATAGGTAAGTCACAATTTTACAACTAAGTATTATAACACATATTTTTTTCTTATATACATTGAAAGCAAATTTATTTTAGAAGTCATTTTGTAAGGCTTTTTCCCACTGCCATTCCACTGCCCCATCCCCAACAAAATAATCTGCAAATCTGTCTCTTATTGCAGCGGAGTGTCGAGAATATGTATTGCTACCAGCTCGGGTAATATCTGTTAGACCATCAGTGGTGGCACTCATTTCACCGAGCTCTTCATTATGCATAGTTTCTTCAGACCTTTGCATCAATAAAAAGTTATGTAGACACACACATGCTTGAACGATTTTCCCTATAGTGGATTCACTAGCAATTATAGGCTTGCGGAAAATTCGCCATTTGGTAACTAATATTCCAAATGCATTTTCGACAATAGACCTATTTATTTTGTGATAAACGAAGATGCAAATACGGATTTGAGCTCGCTAGACAGAGAACCCGATATATTTCACGCGCCACTGGAGGTATACATTTAAAAGCTGCGCAAACATAAGTGCGAGAGAGAGCACATTTTTTGTTCTTGTCTTATGGAAGCCCTGACGGTCAACAAGATGTTCGATCCTGTGTCAAGTTCATTGGAGCGGTGGGTTTGATCGTCCCATCTTTGTTATTTGCATATCAAGACAAGGAGAAAAGGATCAACCGACGAGTCGTACCTAGTACCTGAACGAACACGCTCCACCCCACCTGACACCCCGACTGACTAGGGGCTAGGTTAGGTTGATTATTTATTTATTTATTCAAGATTATAATGATGATTATTCAAATTATTGTCGTAAAATCAAGTAAAATGCATATTAAGCGAGATATTAAGGGAGTTAAGGCCCTCGGGAGGGTTCATTCATTCTTTGAATTTCGTTCAAGCAAGTTGTCAGCTTTCTTCGTGTGTTTTATTTTCGTTTCAGTTTCATTGTTATTATCCTTGGATATTATAGTGTTGATATTGTGTTTAGTGATTACTCCTGATAATATGGCTGATAGTAGTTTTTGGGTGAAAGATCTCTCCCTTTTCAAAGGCTTTCACTTTGGAATTTCAGCAGCCTTTTTCACAAAAAAATCGTGGACACACAGGCAGAGCGATCGTGGCTATAAATTTTTTGCTGAGGGGTATATTCATGATGTGTTCATACACAAGAATGAGTGTACCATCAAGGCGAAATGCTATAGGAGCCAGAAGAAGAATGAGAAGCCGCATAGCCTTCATTTAAAATTTGCATCAGTGGACCTTATGGTGGAAGCTCACTGTACATGTGAGGCGGGGTAAGAAAACGATAATTTGTTACATTATATTTACCAGTGTTAATGAAATTATTTTATTTTTATAGGAACTCCGAATCTTGCAACCACGTTGTTGGGCTGGCTTACTTTCTGCAGCATTTAATTTTGAATGGCTTTAAAGAAGTCCCAGAAAGTGCATCATGCACTTCAATCCCAATGGAATGGAATAAGCCAAGAGGGAACAAAATAACTGCAGAAAAAATACCTGAAAGTGTTTTTATTGACCCAAACAACATAAAAAGGACAAAAAAAACAGTTATTTGTCAAATAAAAAACCCCATAAGGAATGATGAGTTGAAGAAAATCAACCAAGCTAGTATCACAAACCTAAAAACTGTTTTAAAAGAAATTAACCCGTCCATACCATTTGCTAGTACACTATGTACTGAAAACATGGCAAATGATAGAACAATACTTCTACAAAATGGTATGTAGCAGATTTGTATACTTATTATTTATCTAATTCTGATGTTTTTTAACTTATAGGAATAAATGTGCCAGCATCCTCGCTATTGGGACATATGGCTCGTGCTGGGACCAAAAATGTTGCTGCTACAACAGGTCTTGAGAGGGATGAACACCTGGACGATCTACCTATAGCATTGCCATTAGATGATAAAGAAATGGTTGACATCCTAATAAGTTTGGCGCCAGTCCACCACGCCTCATTACAACCAATCTCTATGGAGCAAGCAGCAGAAATAGAGAAAAAGACAAGAACGCAGAACCAGAACGACCTTTGGAAAGATCTTCGTAAATTTCGGTTTACCGCCTCAAAATTTGGTTTTGTTTGTAGAAGAAAACTTTTTAATGACGAATTTATAAAACCATTTGTGTGCCCTCCAGATATCAGTCGTCTAAAAACAGTTGCTCATGGATTGAAAAATGAACCAATAGCCATAAGAGAATTCTTGAAATCAAATCCTCAATTCAAGTATTTTAAATGCGGTTTGGTAGTTCACCCATATGCTATTCATTTGGGTGCAAGCCCAGATGGCATTTTGTACGACTGTACATCTTCTAGTTATGGGGTTCTAGAAGTCAAGTGTCCTTGCAGCACTAAGGCCGATAGTTTGGAAGAACACTTGAAAATAAAAACCTTCTGTTTGCAACAGGACGAAAATAATTTATTATCGCTAAAGGTCAGTCATGATTATTATTTTCAAATCCAGGGGCAAATGCTTTTAGCAGGATTACGATGGGCAAAATTTGTTGTGTATATGGCCAAAACACAACAAATTGTAGTTCAAACCATCCCTTTTGATCCCATTTTTTGCCAAAATATGTACAGGATATTAACTCAAAAGTATGAGATATTTCTAGCAAATGTAGAGGTTGTTCGTTTGTAAATATATATGTTTTTCATTGTTTCGTTGTTCATTTCTTATTGTATATATTAATTTAAGTTAAAGTATAAATTTTTGTACCATATGTAAATAATAAAGCATGTTTGATTTGTTTGTTGCTATGTTTCATAAATAAATTAAAGTGTTTTTCTATTTATTAAATTACAATTTTGTTTTCATTTGCCATGATTCATATTTTTTTTCACTAGTGACATAGACTATAGATTTGAAATGTACTTAAATACAGTAATAAAAGATTATGAAAAGTACTTTTTGTTTTTACACATTTTATTGGTAGTAGAAAAGATTGTGTACTTATTCAATATGTGTGTAAAGCACCTTTTTTCACTTGAGTGATTGTCAAGAATTAATACTTTTGTGAAAAAGGTTTCCTTTACACACTTGTTGCATAAATAACTATACTGAAAAAAAAAACATTACAGATAATCAGTTTTTATTGCATAATAATGTCTATGACTCAACAAATTAAAACAAATGCATTTAAGCTAAAATAACAACAGTATCCAACATCTTCTTGCAACTTTAAAAGTGATTTTTTCATTGCTTGTACAAATTTATAAAAGTGGATAGTGAATACGGCTGTAGGTACATAATATGAACTACTACTACATGAGTACCTAATCATGTGGATTTAAAACAAAATCAGACAAGCAGGAACCTATTTGTTTTGTGTCTTAGGTATTCGTTTTCATTGTCACTAGGCCATACCTAAAATTGCTTAATAGTATGCAAACTGTATAAATTTGTTGTATGGCACCTAAACTAGAAATGGGAATTTCTGATGACAATATATTATAATTTTTTAGCCTTCCTATGGCTCGTTCAACATGTATTCTTTCATGGGCTACTTTTCGAATCGTCGAGACTTCTTCGGTGGTAAATTGGGTACCACCCACTTTAAATACTGGGATGTTTATGTCTAGATTTATAGCTTGAAACAAATCTCTTACGTTAAACCCCTTGTCTGCTAATATAGTATCACCTGGAAAAATTTTTCCTTCATTAACTTTTTCTTTGAGGATATCTATAAACCCACTAACTTCAATAATCGCTTTATCAGAAATAGATCCTGTAAATAATGGTGATGTATAAATTATGGCCCCGGCAGGATCTATCATTATTAGCGATTTAAGAGTTGTTGCCCCCTTGTAGTTAGAATAGCATTGACTTTGTTTTACTAAAGATGACGGTCTTTGAATAAAAAATTCTGTACAGTCAATACTACCAATAACATTTGGATAGTTTTGTCTCATTTTATCAGAAGCTCGATTTATCAACTCGTTTCTATTTGGCCATATGTCCAAAGATCCCAATCTAAGGTACAATAAATTTATCCATGACAAAAATATGCTATTAACATAGGCCTTTGAAATGGAAAACATATCTGATAATGTTTCAATAGACATCCCCCTCCTCAATCGAATAAGTGTCAAAAAAAATGATTTTCTGCGGATAGTTTGCTTAATCGTTCATGTTTTTTTACTCTGGGAGAAGCATCATAAATGGTAATGTCTTTCAAATCACCAGATGGTAATACCCATTTGAAAACCAAACACAAAATCTCGTAGGTTTGAAAGCCTGTATAATACAGAATTTTTTTGTCATTTGCAGAAAACTGTTGCAGGCAAAAGAGTGGCTTGGGTAGAGATAATAGTTGTAATCGTTGGTTTTCTCGTTTCAGATATGCAACCTCGTTCTCCAAAATTTCTACAGTTTTCAAGCTGGAACAGTTCCCTTTACATATTTCCATGGAATCCTTTTCTATCTAAAATATAATATAATTATAATACTTAACTGTACTTATAATTAAAGTGTAGAAAATACCTGTGGTGTAGATGTTGTCAATGTATTAAGTTCGTCGTTCCCAGCTTGGTCTGGTTGATCCTCGGGTAGATCTGATATCCATGACATAGTAACTGAAGATGAGATGGGATTTCCAGTGGCATCAGACACTGGTTTCTTTGTTTGTATCTTGGTAATCTATGGAGCAAATAAATTCCTTATCACTGTGAACTTGATAACCAAAATATAATGAGTTGGTATAAATATGTGATATAAGTTCAGCTGCAGGGACAGTTTATCTTTCCACAGCACTTATATAACTTGGGGCATAGCCTCAGTGTACATGAAAAGTGAGTAATAAGTCAATCACAAGCATACCTTTGTTGGAGTCTTTACAACATTGGTGGTCAAAGTCAGCCTATGTTCTTTCAGAGGTGAAAAATCAGCATTTACTGAGTCATCAACCCAAGTCATAGATACATCCGAGGAGACATTTTCAGAAACCTACGACATAGCCAATTAATATCTTAAATATACGGCATCTTTTTAATAGCAATACCTTTGATGTGGAGTGTTTTCTTTGTTGTTTTGTATTTATGGCTGTTTCCACCCTGTAATGGGAAACACCAGGGGTTTCTGTGAGTACATTGCTTGTGGAGCAGACCGAGGGTGACATACAGTTTGCTGGTCTTGTTTCTGGCACTGGCATTTTAGGTGTATTTTCATTTTCTATTGTAGTTGTTGATGAACTGGGAATATTTTGCATCTCACCTAAGGCAGGCACCCCATCATTTACTGACCCCACACTTGGAATAGCAGATTTTTTCAATTTAACAACATTTCCTCCAAAAACAAAATCTTCCTTTTTGAAATGCTTCGAGCAAACCTAAAATATCCCATATTGAGATTTATTATAAACAATTTATTTATTTCTTACTCTTGGTCTGCAATCCCATTTTAACGCATTTAAACGCAAGGCATTTAACCAAAGCTGGCGTCTATTTTCATCTTTTGGATAACAATGAAATGAGATTCCATTGTTTTTTCTCAGCGTCGATTTGCACTTCCGTACCGAACAATACTGTGGCATTATTAAAACTATAGATAACTACGTCTAATAGTCTAATAAAATAATAATAATGTGAATAATAATACCGCAAAAAACTGAAATATCAAATAATAACAACAAACAAAAACAAGGAAACATAACCACACAAACTCAAATCAAAATCCGGTAAAATGCCATTACTGTCATTTCGTCCTCCAAATTTTCACCTGCCTGCTACAGCCAATAGAAACTTACCTCCTCATGCGCACGCAACTTAGTGCACTCAGGTGTAAATGAATAGGTCTATTCTTCTAGCTCTGCTCAACCGATAATTAAACACTTTTTTCTTCATATTCAGTTGACCACTCCTGGGGTAAGGACGCATTAAATAATTAGACAAAGGGAATGCTTCATCTCCAACAAGTACATAAGGAAAATTATCATCTGAAGGAATATTTAATAGGTTATTTTCAAACCCCTGTCCCATTTGACTGTTTTTAAACACTCCACTGTCACTAAGTCGGCCAGCTGCCCCAATGTCTACCATAATAAATTTATAGTTGGCATCAGCAATAGCAAGTAAATTAATAGAGTGGGATCCTTTGTAATTGTAATAGTTGGAACCGGAGTTTGGTAGAGCCTGAAATTAGAAAAAAAAATCAGTAATACAAAACGATGCACTTTGTGAGAATACCTGAAGACATGAAGGGTTTTTAAAACCTTGAGTGATATTACCTGCATTATAATGTGTTTTCCATCAATAGCTCCTATACAATGTTTAAAATTCCATTTTTCTTCAAATTCTTTTGCTATTTTCTTCCAGTTTTCCTCATTGGGTTCCATAAACACTTCATCCTTTAAGGACTCCCACAATGCATTACAAGTTTCAGATACAATTGTCGACACTGTCTGTTTGCCAACTCTAAAGCTATATGATAATGATACCATACTATCACCTGAAGCTAGGTAACGTAGAGTAATCTCTAATCGAACTCGTGCTTCTATTGCCTCCCTCACAGCATTTTGTTTCCTAATGTATGGTTCAACTTTGGTAAGGAGAAGGTCAAATATTTCAGGACTCATTCTAAAGAAATTTATAAATTTTTGTCTGTCATTTCTCCTCATTTCTGCCACCAAGTTGTTGCTAACGCCCTGTTTTAACCTTTGGTCTGTTATGAATATATCTCTCACCCAAAAGCGCCGATTCACTTTCTCAGATTCTTGTCTTTGTACTTCCAAATAAATTTTGTACAGTTTTAGAAGTTTCTGACGATAAACATTTTTATACAAAAAAGAACATTGTTTATATTTAACAGCCATGGCCCCACACGCAAGTAAAACAGTTTCACTATCTAAATTTTCCATAATAAGGTTTGGCTTTCGCAACTGATAAAGTTTGTGTTTACTATTTTGATTTTCCTAACAAATTTTTTAGGTTAGGCCTAACGTCAAGTATACGCTTCCCATGAGGACGCTACGTCAAAACGCGCTACAGTGCGCTGTCATGCTTTAACGCCGTAAGTACGCTCAATGGGGACCACTCTTCACAGACAATGCAATCCAAGTGGCAATTTTGCTCAGCTCACTGGGATCAGATACCTATAAGCTTGTGCGTGATCTCTGCTACCCTTCATCACCTAAGGACAAAACGTACAGCCAATTGAACACAATCATAAGAAGTCAATTCAAGTCCCAAGTTAGCACGTGGAGGGAAAGAAGGAAATTCTATTGTATTACTCAAAGCGAGGGAGAATCTATAGCAGAATTTTATGCAAAATTACGAAGTCACGCAGTAAGTTGTAATTTTGGAAACAGTTTATCAAGTATTTTGGCCCATAGGTTCGTGTGTGGAATTTCTAAAAACAAAATAGTGGACAGACTATGTGAGGAAGACCACGACCAGACCCTGGAAAAGTTGATAGAGTTGGCAACACGGGTCGAGAGTGCGGCAAAGGAGTCGACCAGCGGCGCAAGCATCGGCGTCAACGCAGTTGAAAAATTCAGGAGTGGTGGCAATCAAGGCAACGTCACAAGCAACAGTAGCAACAACTGCTGCAAGACCCCGAAGCAGCAGTGCAACCGGTACAACCAGAACTCGAACGGGTTTGAGAATTGGCAACATCGGCGACAACAGCAGCCAGGCCCAAGCCAA